ACATTCTGGAGGGCCGGATGCAACAGTCACACACTTCGTGCTCTTCGAGTTCCCAGAATTCCATTCCCGGGCCACATTTTGGATGCCCGGAGCCAACTGTAGGCCACTTCGTGCTCTTCGAGTTCCCAGAACTCCATTCCCGGGCCACATTTTGAATGCCCGGAGCCAACTGTAGGCCACTTCGTGCTCTTCGAGTTCCCAGAACTCCATTCCCGGGCCACATTTTGAATGCCCGTAGCCAACTGTAGGCAACTTCGTGCTCTTCGACTTCCCAGAACTCCCATTCCTGGGCCACATTTTCAGCAGGGGCAAGAGCACGACGAGGAGGAGGACGAGCAAGACCAGGAGGACGAGGACGAGCAGGAGCAGGACGAGGAGCAGGAGGAGCAGGAGAAGAAGGACGAGCAGGAGGAGGAGGAGGACGAGCAGGAGGAGGAGGACGACCAGGAGGAGGAGGACGACCAGGAAGAGGAGGAGGAGGAGGAGGAGGGGAGGGGGAGGAGCACCAGGAGGAGGAGGAGGAGGAGGAGGAGGAGGAGGAGGAAGAGGAGGAGGAGGAGGAGGAGGAGGAGGAGGCGAGGACGAGGAGGAGGAGGAGGAGGGGGGGGGAGAGTACCAGGAGGAGGAGAAAAGAGGACCACCAGGAGGAGGAGGAGGAGGAGGAGGAGGAGGAGGAGGAGAGACACCAGGAGGAGGAGGACGAGCGACGAGCGAGGACGAGCACGAGGACGACCAGGAAGAGAGGACGAGGAGGAGGAAGAGGAGGGGGAGTGGAGGACTAATTTTGTGAGCAGAAGAGGAGGAGGAGGAGGAGGAAGAGGAGGAGGAGGACGAGGAGGAGGAGGAGGAGGAGGAGGACGAGGAGGAGGAGGGGGGGGGAGAGCACCAGGAGGAGGAGAACGAGGACCTCCAGGAGGAGGAGGAGGAGGAGGAGGAGGAGGAGGAGGAGGAGGAGGAGGAGAGAGCACCAGGAGGAGGAGGACGAGCAAGACGAGGAGGACGAGAACGAGGACGAGCAGGAAGAAGAGGAGGAGGAGGAGGAGGAGGAGGAGGAGGAGGAGGAGCAGGAGAAAGAGGAGGAGAGGAGGAGGCAGGCTGAGGCTGAGGCTGTGACTGCGACTGCCGTTGCCGCTGCGACTGTCATCGCGAATGCGACTACGACTGCGAGAACAGCAGAATTCTACAACTGGATTTTCATCTGAATCTTAAGGGGAATGCTTTCAGAGATGCTTCTACACATCGCTGTTAGGTTGCTTTGCCGGGATAATTTTTGCCGGGATATTTGTTTACCTAACAGCGAGATGAGAGGTTTCTAGTTGACTCAAAGAGCTCACAGATCAACTCCACAGGGTGGGTCCGGGCAGGTGTTGGGACGTTTTTGCCCGGGCAGGGTGCGGGCTCGTTTCTCACCAACAGTCACACACTTCGTGCTCTTCGAGTTCCCAGAACTCCATTCCCGGGCCACATTTTGAATACCCGGAGCCAACTGTAGGCCACTTCGTGCTCTTCGACTTCCCAGAACTCCATTCCCGGGCCACATTTTGGATGCCCGGAGCCAACTGTAGGCCACTTCGTGCTCTTCGACTTCCCAGAACTCCATTCCCGGGCCACATTTTGGATGCCCGGAGCCAACTGTAGGCCACTTCGTGCTCTTCGATTTCCCAGAACTCCATTCCCGGGCCACATTTTGCCCGGAGCCAACTGTAGGCCACTTCGTGCTCTTCGATTTCCCAGAACTCCATTCCCGGGCCACATTTTGGATGCCCGGAGCCAACTGTAGGCCACTTCGTGCTCTTCGAGTTCCCAGAACTCCATTCCCGGGCCACATTTTGAATGCCCGGAGCCAACTGTAGGCAACTTCGTGCTCTTCGACTTCCCAGAACTCCCATTCCTGGGCCACATTTTCAGCAGGGGCAAGAGCACGACGAGGAGGAGGACGAGCAAGACCAGGAGGACGAGGACGAGCAGGAGCAGGACGAGGAGCAGGAGGAGCAGGAGAAGAAGGACGAGCAGGAGGAGGAGGAGGACGAGCAGGAGGAGGACGACCAGGAGGAGGAGGACGACCAGGAAGAGGAGGAGGAGGAGGAGGAGGGGAGGGGGAGGAGTACCAGGAGGAGGAGGAGGAGGAGGAGGAGGAGGAGGAAGAGGAGGAGGAGGAGGAGGAGGACGAGGACGAGGAGGAGGAGGAGGAGGGGGGGGGAGAGTACCAGGAGGAGGAGAACGAGGACCACCAGGAGGAGGAGGAGGAGGAGGAGGAGGAGGAGGAGGAGGAGAGAACACCAGGAGGAGGAGGACGAGCAAGACGAGGAGGACGAGAACGAGGACGACCAGGAAGAGGAGGAGGAGGAGGAGGAGGGGAGGGGGAGGACTACCAGGAGGAGGAGGAGGAGGAGGAGGAGGAGGAGGAAGAGGAGGAGGAGGACGAGGAGGAGGAGGAGGAGGAGGAGGACGAGGAGGAGGAGGGGGGGGGAGAGCACCAGGAGGAGGAGAACGAGGACCACCAGGAGGAGGAGGAGGAGGAGGAGGAGGAGGAGGAGGAGGAGAGAGCACCAGGAGGAGGAGGACGAGCAAGACGAGGAGGACGAGAACGAGGACGAGCAGGAGGAAGAGGAGGAGGAGGAGGAGGAGGAGGAGCAGGAGAAAGGAGGAGGAGGAGGAGGCAGGCTGAGGCTGAGGCTGTGACTGCGACTGCCGTTGCCGCTGCGACTGTCATCGCGAATGCGACTACGACTGCGAGAACAGCAGAATTCGACAACTGGATTTTCATCTGAATCTTAAGGGGAATGCTTTCAGATATGCTTCTACACATCGCTGTTAGGTTGCTTTGCCGGGATAATATGTTAAAATCGCTACGAACACTAAGGTTTTGGAAGGATTTCGTCTTGCGCGCGCGAATGTCCACTTTACCTTATTTTTTGCACGGGATTCTTGAAGTTTGGTTATGTTAGAACAAGAAATGTCCACTTTAGCTTATTTTTTGCAAGGGAAAGCGGGGGGGAACAAAACAACCGGATCTGGTACACATCATTTTGCCTGAGACTTCCTCACGAAAATTATGAAAATGAGGCTGCGGCCTAGGCGCGGCGGGGGGGGCGCGCACCAGGGGCCCCAACAATAATTATTCTTTAGAATTAATAATGTTCAACAAGCACCAGGCGGCCTCGAGGCTGCCACGGGCGGCAACGTGGCGAAGCCTCGCTGGACCCATCCAATTCCTTAGTGACGCAAGGGGGAGCCCCGAAGTGCAACCACTGGTTGGGGGGAATCGCGGGAGCCCACGACGCGAGAGCCAGGCGCTGCCCTCCGCGCGTGACAGAATTTGCAGCGCCTGGATCTCAGGGGTCCTGGGCCCCGGGGATGTCCAAGAGAGCAGCCCCGAGATGTCCACGAGGGTCCCGGAAGGGTCCCGAGAGGGTACTCGGGAGTTTTTGGTAGGCGTGTCGCTCCGCCAGTTCGGCCCCACGACGCCTCGGCGCGACGCGCTACATCCTCCTCGCGGTCCCCAGTCGTCCACGTGCCGAGCTTCTCCCAGCCTCCCACCCCGCGGAGCGGAGCGACACGCTATGCGCTTGCAGGGCGTAGCGTGTCGCCAGGGCCGCCGTGGCGACAGGCCACGCAGAAGATCCCGACCGCAACTCTGGCCCTCTGTATCCTTGGACGGGGTTCGACCTAAACGGTTTTTGGCTATCTCGTGGTCCGTCTTCGTCGCGATGTCGCTTTTGCAGCAGAGGCGGAACGAAGACACAGCTCCAGAAATCGAAAGCAGATCGAAAACGAAAATCAGCGGCGAACGAGGGGGGCAAGTGACAAGGAGAAGGCCTTCTCAGAAGGCGGCGGGACGGCTCAGGAGCCCTCCGGCCTTCTGAGAGGCTTTCTGCGCCGTCCGGGAAGGCTTGGGAACCTTCTCAGACGGCCGGGGGATTTCCGAGCCTTCTGAGAAGGCCTCCTCCTCCTCCGCCCCCTCCTCCTCCTCCTCCTCCTCCTCCTCCTCCTCCTCCTCCTCCCCTTCCTCCCCTTCCTCCTCCAACTCCAACTCCTCCTCCTCCTCCTCCTCCTCCTCCTCCTCCTCCCTCCTCCTTGCGCGTCGTTCGCTCCTCCTTCCTCCTCTCCTTCTCCTCTTCTCCTCTTCTCCTCTTCCTCCTCCTCCTCCTCCTCCTCCTCCTCTCCTCCTCCCCGTCCTCCCCCTCCTCCTTCTTCTCCGCCTCCTCCTCCTCCCTCCTCCTCCTCTCTCCTCCTCCTCCTCCTCCACCTCCTCCTCCTCCTCCTCCTCCACCTCCTCCTCCTCCCCAGTCCCCCTCTGTGAAGCGAAGCTTCACAGGGTCAAAGTCACCTCGTCCCTCGAGCTGCTCTCTACGTAGCTCTGCACGATCTTCTTTCCTGCAGCGCCGCCTGCACCGCAACAGTACTCGTCACCAGTCCTGTATCTGCACACGGAGTGTGGAGAGAGGGAGAGATGTGTGGTATTGGGCTCGATTGAATAGAAGGTAGGGGAAACACGGGGGGCCTCTGAAGGCCCCGGGACCCCTCTGGCCCCGCGATGAAGGCCTGCAGCCAAATGGCTATGGATGGAGCGAACACTAAACACGATCCAAGATCGAAAGATCGACACCGACCCTAAAATATCTTCGCTCACATCCATAGGCTGACCGGCAACGAGTAGCAGAGACAGAAAATTCAGTCCTTCGGAGACTCTTCAAGGCTGCCCCAAAGGTCTGGACGGAAATCTAGCTCAGTCACTGTCTCTAGAGCAGAGATACCTTGACCTTTCCGCCTCTTAGCGGACTCGAACATTTGGTCGTACACTAAACGCCACCTACAGCCGTTACTGAAAAATAAATCTAGTTGCCAACGTTCATGGCCCTTAGTCAGGCTGTTCGCTAGCATAGCATCACTGTGTACCCACCTAACTGGACACGCGCATGCCTCGATGCCGTTTCTCAGTGCTAGAAGTTCGAGACCCGTCCTGAACTCTTTGCCTCCCATGAGCTTCTCGGGCCACCTCAATCTGTCGTACAGGTTTTTCGAGTCCGTGACCAGACACCCAGGAACTCGTCGAACTTGGGCCCAGGGATCTCGAAGATCTGGTCGCCACCCCGAAAGTTCCGAAAGCAGAAACCTAACAAACGTGAGCTCGTCCTCTGTATTTACTGTAGCTGATACCTCGGCAGCCGGGGGTGATCGACATGTCCGTTCAACTTTCCCAGAACGCCAACTGATCAGTGAAACTCCGGTCTCGATCCCGTCCAAAAACGACTCCGGAACAATCCCAAGAACTCGGCCTTCTGTGGATTTTCCATCAACTCGATTCGCAAACGCCGCGTCACCCCAGCCTACGACCGCCAACGACTCCTTCTCGGGAAACGAAAACACCTCCAGGAATCTGTTGTTACCCTCTTTGGCTCTCTTGATCAACTTATTTACCTTCAGGAGGTCCTCTACGGTGCACGACTCTGTCTTGCTCTGCAACAGACTCAGCTCTGCTAGGATGTCTGGCCCTGTCTGCGTACCTTTCCATTGGAGACTACCCGTGGCCGCTCTGAACTGACTCTTTTCTGATGATGTGACGGGCGACGATGGCTGTCGCCTCCGGTCGGGAGGCACCTCGATCTCCACGATCTGCTCCAGGTAGGTCTTCTGATCCAACCGAAAGCTGTAGTCCTCGCGCTGGTAGATGTCCACCCCGCACTGCGTGAACTTGCCGTACTCCCACTCGGTCCATCGGAAAGCGTCCATGATTGACTTCTTAGCATGAGCCCACACATCATCTCCGTCACGACCTGCAAACAGAAAGTCATCAACACGTGACAACGCCATCCCGATGATGTACTCAGGTTGGCCATCAGAGATGAACCGCGTCAGGATCCACACACACGGGTCTGACTCCAGTTGTCGCCAACCCAGCTCTTGCAACTTCTTGTTCACTGCTTGGTGCCACGCCCGAGGAGCCTGCACCAGACCGTACGCTGACTTCTTGAGGATTGCCACTTGTCCGGGTCGAAGGCCAAGAAACTCCGCGATATCTCCGGTCGGCCTCACGAATAGGTCACGATCCAGATCCTCACCCTGTAGAAACGCCGACTTGACATCGCCCTTGGCCACCCGCATTCGTAGATGTGCCGCCTTCTGGAGGAAGACCTGCCTGGCTGTCCGGGTGGCTGTTGGTGCATATGATTCCTCGGTGGTCAGGTCGGGGTCCTGATAGCCTAGGATAACCAGACGAGCCTTTGCCTTTCGTCCGCCAGGTTCTGATGGATCGATTTTCCACGTCAGGACCCACCGAAGCCGCATGAGGCGATCGGCTGGCACTCGTACATGTTCGGGCAAAGCCTCCAGGACCATCTCCTTGATCCACTCCTGTGCCTCCTTGGACTTGGCTTTCTTGAACTTCGCCAGGTCGTCAGCCGACAAAGATCGTTCTCGTACCTCAGCTCTCTGTCGTCGCAGTTGAGTGGCCACGAAAGCTCCAAGGTCTCGCACTGCCGTGCAGGCCCTGGCTCCTTCCGGAAGAGTGATCTCGATCTCGACGGCGCTATCTTCCTTGGCCCAGAAGCAAGACTCTGACTCGCTCTCGACCAGCAATGCACTCTGCTCCTTCTCGTCCTTCGCCAACTGCCTGGCTGACTTGTCCTTGCCATAGTCGCCGACTGCCGATGAGGAGGTCGGTAGACCTTCCCAGGCATATGGGGAAGTCCTCGTCGAAGGAGTCCTCGACTTGTTTGGTGGCCTCGCCGGTGTCGCTGGAAAAGTCCCAGCCATATCTGAAGAGACGGGCCCAGGGGTGTTGCCGTCCGTCTTCAGGGCTTTCGAACGCTGTTCATGCTCTTCCGGACTCCGCTTGCCACGCAGTCGAGGACGCAGTGGTGGGTCTTCTTCCATGACCGTAGGCAGAGGGGGCACCCCTGAGGCCTCATCGTAGTCACGATCAGAAGGTATGAGACGCTCGTCCTCCGCCAGATCCTCGTACTGGCCTGGTCTCAGGTTGCTCGTGAGTTGGTTGAATGTCCACGGCAGTTCAGCTCCATGCAGTATGTCATGCTCGGCAATCTCGCGATCCGAAGCGTCTCGCAGCTGACACGGATCACACCTGATGAGCCGCCCACACGCGTTTAGCCACACTCTCGGTCGAGCTTGAGCTTCACCGTGCCGGTGGACAGTCTCGCTCGCCAGCACGCGTGCGGGTCCGTAGAAACGTCCAGTCATAGAGCTGCTCTTCGGATTCCTGAAGTAGTAGACCAGGGTGCCGGGTGTGTAGACTCGAAGGCGTCGAGATCTGGCATGTGCTGCACGCCTAGCTCGCTCGCCATAAATCCACCTCAAGAGCTCCTCCTGAGCCTTCCTCATGAGCTGGAAATTGTTCCCGAACTCTGTGTCTACGGCCTCTGATTCCAGAGCTGGAAGGTTGATCGGGTCACCCGGAACGTCGACGAACGCACCATCTAGATCTGGCGCTCGTCCCAGTGCCACTTGAAGAGGTGAGAAACCCCGGTGTCGGTCGAACTCGTTGTACGCGGCCATAGCCCTGGCCAGGTACTCCTCGCATGATCTTCCAGGATGCTCCTTCGCCAACACCGTCATGGTATCCTTGATGAGACTGATGAGCCTCTCGACCCCGCCGATCTGCCAATGAGCTTGACCTGGAATGGGATCCATCTGAATACCGCTGCCTTACAGGTTCTCCCGGATAGCGTTGCTCATCCACGCCCCTTCAGGGTCTACCTGGAGCACTCGAGGTCGACCGAAATACCCGATCCACCTGCTCCAAATTGAGTCTTTCAGATCCTCTGCCGTGGCGTTCCTGCTCTTGACCATCTTATATAAAGTGTGTCCTACTCCCAGTCGGCTTCCCATATCCAGGTAGAGGACAATCTTAAACTTCTCATGAGTACATGGATCCTCCCATTCAGCCAGATCGCTCTGAAGCACTGCCCACTTCTTCGGAACTTCGTCAGCTGACCCCACCGGTCGAGGCGGACAGTGCTTCTGACTCTCGTCACAAGCTGAACAACGCATCTGCCTGACATGGTCGATGATCCGCTTGTCTGCTCCCTTGGCTGCCAAAGACTTAGCCACCTGGGCGAACGGGCAGTGACCACACGCTGCATGGATACGTCGAGCTGAAATCTCCACCTTTCTGAGCGTGTCAGCGTCGATCTCTGCGTCAGACTTCGAGACTGCGTAGCCCAGCTCCAGGTCGTTCTCACCCTCCTGCTCTTCGATGTGCCGCTTGATCTCCAGGTAGCCCGGCTCGTGTAGCATCGCTCTGACTGCTCTTCGGACGAACTCGTCAGGATAGTAGGCCGTGGCCGCTGTCCTGGCTCCACCTACGCACGGAGAGTGAGAATGGCGTCCATCGCACCGCACCGCCAGACGCTGACGGAGGACACTGGACGTCGACCAAATCTCCCACGGCTTCTGCATCGGTAAACCCGTGTCTATGGCCTTGACCCCGAGCATGCAGCCGTCACACACCGTGGGCTGCATTTCAGCGTCTCTGAAAACTTGACGGAGCTCGGGCCAGCGGTAAGGTGAGAGGTCCTTCGGCCACTCCCAGTGTACATGTCCTTGATCTGCCACCTGATCCATGACGAGGGTCAGGCAGTTCCTGATCAACCTCTTGGACTTCTTACGGCTCTGCAGAACCTGAGCCCAGACTTCTGGTTTGTGAATGTTGAAATTCTGATTGCCACTCCATGGTCCACAAGGGAGAGAGAACCACAGGTGACAGGGTCGCACTCGGTGACGTTCGGCACGCGCTTTCTGTAAACCCGCAGCGGTCGACAGGTCGAAACCGTTCCAACCACTAATTCGTGATGCACTGCCCGCTCCTGACTCCTGCTCCATGAAGGTGGTTAGACCCGATGCTGGTGAGCAGCAGATCTCCATTAGCTTGACCTTCGCAGTGTCCGTCAGGAGCGACCACGCCGGCGTAACGCTCTTGTCCAGGTGCCCCGCCAGCCAGGTCGCCTGGGAGCTCGTAAGTTCTTTCAAGGGCCCTTGCCGGCCCGCCCAGACGGGGCGGCCGTCGACGACCCCTCCTCGACCTTCTGCACTCTCGAGGTCAGCGCGTGCATCTGGTTCTTCATGTCCCCCAGCAGGTCGATGATCTGGTCCTCCCTGGTCTTGACGTCCTCCATCCTGACCTGCTCCTCGCGGCACGACCTCTTCATCGTCGGACGGTTCGGGATCCTCTGTGCGCTCTCTTCCTTGACATCCTTGACCACGAACCATGGGCTCTCCGACTTCTCGTACTTCACCTCCGGCTGCGGAAGCTCGAACTTCTCCTTGTTCATCATGTCCTCGGCCTTCACACCCTTGGAGATCAACCAGTCGGTCAGCTTCTTGAACCTCGGGTCTTTCATGCTCACCAACCAGCCCGCATATTCGCGCTCCTTCTCGAACAGGTGGAGGTACGTCTTGCCGCGGTGCCTGCCGAACGGGATGATCTCGGAGGGGCTGACCTGGACACCTAGCTCCTTGCACCTCTCGACGATCAGGATCTGCAGGTCCCCTTTTGTCTCCTTGCCTGTGAGTACGCATCCGACATCCTCCGCGTCCTTCACCAACTCCGCCTTTTTCTTGTGCATGGACGTCGGCCTCATCTCGATGGGCATCGCCCTGTGGATCTGCCGCAGTCTGGCACGGAGCATCTCCACCGTCATGTGGCGGCAGTCCTCGTCCCACTGGCATAGCTCAGTCTGAAGCTCGGCCTTGCGCATCGTCGAGGTGTGAGGGTGACCGTGCATCTCGAGAGACGCTCCCTGGCGGGACAGTCCCCTGTGAAACTGGCAGACTTTGAGCCACAGTATGTGTACGGGCCATCTGTGAGGACCACGTGGGGCTCAGCTGGGTATCTTCGTACAACTCACACCGCTCATCTCTGTAATTCGGTTCTGTTTCAAAGTCCGTTCGGAAACTTGTATTGATTTTATCGTTATCCATGTCCCTAGATTCCACTAGCTGCTCGGCTGATTCCGAACCTCCCCTTGACGCCCGAGTAGCAACCCTAGACGTACCCGAAGATGCCCTCAGGGTCTCTGGAGATATCGTTTGGCTTCCCGTAGGTCTTATCTGGATTCCGGTGGCCGTCCTCTGGGATCCTAGACACGTTTTCTGAGAACACGACGGTGGCCCCGACGACGTAGGACAGGCCCCACTAGACCTCGAACCACTCTGTGAGGTCCCGAGAGTTGCCCGTCTCGAACAGGAGGTAGTAGACCGGGTTCCCGCAGAGCTCCTCGAGGTCCCACTCGGAGCCCATTTTGGAGCCTGAACCTCACCTGGCCTGCTATTCAACGACGCCGTCGCCATCAGTGCTGTCTCTGCTGTACCGTCACTGTCGGTCGCCACGACGTGATGAGCTGATGGAGGAGGTGGAGGAGGAATGCATGGCGCAAACTCTGGCGCCTCCTCGTCAGTGTCTCCAAGCGCTGGTAGCGGCGCCTGGCTAGAAAGCGAAGCCACGCCACGGCTCAAGATGCAATCCCCCGGCCTGTCGGTGACCCCGACGTCGCCCAGGAGATCGCACGTCAAGTCGATCAGGAGGTGGCCAGTCCTGGACCTCTGGAAAGAAATTATCCTGTGCGGGTCGATGCTCTTGAAGACGCCGATGCCGGCCTCGAAGTCGATCACGGCTCCGAGCTGCCTCAGCGTCTCAATGGACACCAAAATGGGAATCCCCGGAGCGTCGACTGCATGAACCAGGAAAGACACATACACGCCCTTGACCTGCAACTTAAACTTGACCCGGCAGAGGACCCGCTTCACCTCGCCGTTCCCGAACTTGTACACTGGGCGGTCAATCAGGTCCACCTCCATCGGCGGATGACCCCTGGCGATGAGCAGCTCATTCAAAGCCTCCACCGCCTCGATGCCGCCGATGGTCTTCGTAGCTCCGGAGTCCATGATTCCGTGGCCCATCTCCGTTGTCCTTCATCCCCGTCTTCCTCCTGTTCAGCTTCAGCCACCGACGTCACTAGAGCGTGATCACGCTCCTCCTCTCCGTTCCAGGTCTGAGCGTCCTCGCCGTAGAACGCCGCTGCCGCCACTTGCTGACGGATGAACTTTGACTTCCTGTAGTCCCGGTCCTTCAGGTTCTCGTCGCTGGGCCACTGAGTACGTAACGCACTCTCCACGTTGTCCACGGTGAAGTCGCCCCTGCACGATCCGATGACCGCCGCGATCTCACCGCCGTCCAGGCCAGCTCGGTGAAGCAGATACCAGCCCCTGACGATGCTCGGGAGAACCTCCGGCAGGTCATGCGTTGGGAACGTGCCCTGGCTCTCACGGTCGAAGCCGCGCTGTGGCCAGTGGCCGTCATTCCAGCCGCCCTGCCACCAGCGCTGGTGCCGCCACCAGTCTTGCCCGTCAGCTCCTCCCTCGACCTCCCAGTCTCGGACTTCGTCAGGTTCGGCATCTGCAACGGTGCCCTCTTCAGCGCCACCTATCCGATGCCACGAACCTGACCCCGCGTCCACTGGCCACTTGTCGAAGGTCGTCGCTGTCGTCGCTGGTGTCTTCACGATCTCCGTCTTCCCGATCATCCGGGAGAGCGCCACCCGCAATCGTTGGTAGCTCTCGTGTACCCGCAGGCAGTACTCGGCCATACCCTCGCCGCGCCGGCGGCGGAGCTTCACGAAGTACTCTTCCATGTAGTGGCCAACGTCTTCGACGGGCTGCCTCATGACCGTCTGCTGTAGATGCTCCAGCAGCTTGTCCGCACCCCACATGGACGAGAGCCAGCCTCTCGGCCGACCGATGCACGCCGTCGCCGCAGGTCCGGACAGGCGTGCCACCAACCTGGGGCCGCACAGGTACCTGTCCTCCCACTTCGTGCCGTCCACGTAGTTCATCACATTTTGTTGGTACCGCTCCCATGTCGCAGCGCTACCGTTCCACGTAGGAATATTCTGATTAACATTCTCCATGGAGCAGAAACCTGCTCCGCTACCATGTGAAGCGAAGCTTCACAGGGTCAAAGTCACCTCGTCCCTCGAGCTGCTCTCTACGTAGCTCTGCACGATCTTCTTTCCTGCAGCGCCGCCTGCACCGCAACAGTACTCGTCACCAGTCCTGTATCTGCACACGGAGTGTGGAGAGAGGGAGAGATGTGTGGTATTGGGCTCGATTGAATAGAAGGTAGGGGAAACACGGGGGGCCTCTGAAGGCCCCAGGACCCCTCTGGCCCCGCGATGAAGGCCTGCAGCCAAATGGCTATGGATGGAGCGAACACTAAACACGATCCAAGATCGAAAGATCGACACCCTCCCCCTCCTCCTCCTCCTCCCCCTCCTCCTCCTCCTCCTCCTCCTCCGCCTCCTCCTCCTCCTCCTCCTCCTTCTCCTCCCCCTCCTCCGCCTCCTCCTCCTCCACCTCCTCCTCCTCCGCCTCCGCCACCGAGTGCGGGTCGATCCCTGCCCTGGGCCCCTGCTGCAGGCGAGGCTGCCCTCCACGCTCACGGGGCCCCAGCTCCAGCGCCTCGGCCTCCGCGGCCTCCGGGCGCTGTGCAGCGACGGTGCCACCGCGGAGGCCCTGCACGCGGCGCTGCTGGGGGAGCAGGCGGCCGGCCGCGAGGCCGCGGCGTCCCAGAGGAGCCTTCGGCGGCGCCGGCGTCCGCCTCGCCCTGCCCGCCCGCCTCGCTCCCTCCCTCCTCGCTGCCTGCCTCCCTGCCTCCCTGGCTCTTTGGCTCCCTCCGCCCTCTGCTCCCCCCCCACCCTCCCCCTCTTCCTTCTCCCCCCCTCCCTCCCCGTCGTCATCGTCGTCGTCGGCGTCGGCGTCGTCGTCGTCGTCGGCGTCGGCGTCGGCGTCGGCGTCGGCGTCGTCGTCGGCGTGGGGTGTCGTCGTCGTCGTCGTCGTCGTCGTCGTCGTCGTCGTCGTCGTCGTCGTCGTCGTCGTGGGCGTCCCTCCTCCCTCGCTCTCTTCCTCCCTCCTCCTCCTCCGCCTCCTCCGCCCCCTCCTCCTCCTCCTCCTCCTTCTTCTGCTCCTCCTCCTCCTCCTCCTCCTCCTCCTCCTCCTCCTCCTCCGCCTCCTCCTCCTCCTCCTGTTCCTCTACCCTCCTCCCCTTGGAC